CCATGCAGATTCGGATTTGACCGTAATTAGCATCTGATCACGCTCTTAAGAATCTTGTTACAGCAACTTAAAAATACTAAGCCTTATCTCAACCGTTCGATTTAATGCAAAGCAAATTTCAACGGTCGATCATCGCTTCATTAGCAAGTTAATTGATCCGGATAATGATAATAGATAAATAATAAAATAAATAAATAACGGCATTGTAACTCATTTCCAGCTTCTAGATTACTCTGCGATTCTGTCTTCTCTGCCTCTGTTTCTTCATGAGGTGGACCTAGCTAGGGTTTTCTTCTCGTTCTTCCAGCTCCTCTTTTCTTCTTGTTCTTATTCTTCTTCCTGTTCTTCTTCTCAAATTCTGGTGCGTGCAAGCCCGGAAAAAGTCCACATTCTCTCCATTTCCAGAGAATTTGAAGTTTCTGCAATCTGTAAGTTCGGTCGTTGAAAACCCTAATCTCGAAATCTTTGCTTCCCATGGCTAAAACTAGACCCGGGATCACCTCCAAGACAAAAACTGGCAAGAAGGAGCTCGACTCTTACACCATCAGAGGCACCAACAAAGTCGTCAGAGGTACTTACTTACCTATGCCTACGGATTATACGTTCGTGTGCCATTGAGCCTTGGCAAAATAGGTTGTGTTTGAGACGGAAAAAACGCAACTGCCTTGCGTTTGGGATTATGTATATCTGTGTGCGTGTATGTATAGATTAAGATATATGGATTTTGAATTTGATGGTCGGGAGGGAGAAATTATGGTCGTTTTTCAGCTGAGAACCATGGCTTGATTGTTTAGATTTGTTGCATATGGATATGTGTTTACAGGGGTTTATTTATATTGCGGAGGAGTGAATTTGCCGTCGTTTTGCAGCTGGGGATTGCGTTCTGATGCGTCCATCGGACACTGGCAAGCCTCCCTACGTGGCGCGAATTGAGAAGATAGAAGCAGATGCTCGGAACAATGTGAAGGTCAGTGTTCGGTGGTATTACCGTCCGGAGGAGTCGCTTGGAGGGAGGAGGCAGTTCCATGGAGCTAAAGAGCTATTCTTGTCAGATCACTACGACGTGCAGAGTGCTCACACCATTGAAGGGAAGTGTATTGTTCACACTTTTAAGAATTATACTAAGCTTGAGAATGTTGGAGCTGAGGATTATTATTGTAGATTTGAGTACAAGGCTGCAACCGGTGGGTTTACCCCAGACCGGGTTGCTGTGTGAGTATTTCTGGTTTTCTTGTGTTATTGATATATAAATTTGTTGTCTGGGATACTTGCATTGATGGTCTCTTGATGCTTTTGTAATTATCTCTTGTTTGAAGATATTGCAAATGCGAGATGCCATATAACCCGGATGATCTCATGGTGCAATGTGAAGGTTGCAAGGACTGGTAAAGCTTCTATATCCTTTCTGTTCTAACTTCAATAAGGATCTTGAAATTTATGTCCTGAAGGTAGAATATGGAAATAAATTAATTAAAAACTTATATCTGAATGTAGTTCATAATTTTCTGGTGTGTGGTTTTGGTGAACTCTCCCAAACCCAAAAGTACGAACTGGGCAACCCTTGCTAACTAAAAGACT